TAAATGTATATTGACATGTGAATTTATTGCAGTTGAGCTACGTTATGCTTGGTATAGCAAAGAAGAAGAAAAAACATATAAAACGAAGATTTTTGAAAATATGTTTTCAATTCGGTATAGCGAAGAAAAAATAGATAAAACGACTTTTTTTAATGTGTTTTCATTACATATTTCCTTACATTCCTTACACCATGTACAGAAAACTTTCAAATTGGTTAATTTGTTGGATCACATCATGGGTTCTCTCTTGAAAGATATTAAACACTCTAAGGATTTTTTTTTCTAAGTTCATTGTGCCATTTATTTTACTATGCTTTGTAATTACATTGATTTCTATAACTTTTGATGCTAAATATCTGATTTTATTGGCAGTGTCAGCATGCATACTGGCTATATCATTTTTCTTATCCGAAGCGAAAAATCATATCTAAATAAATGATTGTATAAAATACAATACAATACATCACTTGAAATAATATGAAACAAATAAGAAGGGTAAGGCTACTGATGTTGAGCTGATTAGGTTTTTTAAAACTTTCCTTTGCTAATTAGAATAGGCTGTCTACAGAAACTTTTTTTGGCTTGCCGAAAAGAATTTGTTATAGTCAGATAGTTGTAATGAGGGTTTTCAAGTTAGATATAATTGGTTTATTTTGAAATAAGACAATCGTAGAAGATTTATTTTGACATCATACAGTGACAGCAAACATTCGATCTAATTGTATGGCTGCTATGTAAGACAACTTGAATCAGTGCTCTAGAAATACCAAACAATATAACAACACTAAAATTACTAAGGGAACTTGTTATCTCCTGACACCTCCTGTTTTAAGTATAAGGATCCGTTGAAAAGAAAATACCTCAGGGGCAATGACAATAAAAGGTGACAATTGTAGACATGGTAATGACTTTTTTACCAATTTTTGCTTACTGAAAGTAGTAAATGCCATTTTCATTTAATAAAAGCCGGATATTAATTTTTAACAATCTACATAATATTTAAGAAATTTCTAAATGAACATTTGCAGATAGTCTTCTCATTCAAAAATCATTTTAGTTATCAATAATGTATTCTTCACTGAAGTATTTGTATTTTGAAAAAATTTGGTAAATACAACATGTTTTTAAATATTCTTTTATGCTTCAACCTGAAAAAATAATTTTACTGAAGTCTGATGTTGGCGAAACAGAAAAGAATATTTAATCATGCTTTGTTTTACCATTGACTTCTTGCAATATTATTACAATTGATGTTATTTACAATTTAATTATGCCCTAAGGTTATATACCGAAACAACAGTCTAAAAAGCACATTATCTGGAAAAAAATCAACAAAAATATCATTACAACAAAGACAACACGCATAATTTTTATGATTTTTTTGTCATATTTTCGTTTAACACCCTATCTAGAATCTAAACACATGCAGCAAATTTTGTTGTTGATTTCAAAAGTAACTATTTTCCATCCTCTTGTTCAGTTCCATTTTATTTTCATATTTTGACGTCCTTGAGTAATGCAGGAGCTAAGCAATAAAGGAACAATGTAATTTTGGATTATGTAATTCAAATTAATACGAAAGGGACGTTTCTTATTTTCATTTTGTCTATAAATCTGTATTATTCTAAAAGACGTGTTTCATGATGCATTTTTTCGTGTGACCACTAACACTGTATTTAAAGGCGACATTGATTTAAAGATGTTCCGCACTACTTACATTTACTTAACGGTCAAAACTAAAATTAAAAAAAACTGCATACACTTGCTTAGGTCGCCATGAATTTTTCCCGGGAGTAATAAATGAATCTCTTCTTAACAGTTGGACAGTCATTGTAGAATTGAATCGATTTGTAATAGTGATAATGTACACTTGATTTGATAGCCAGTCTGAAATGTGCATATGGGTTAAGTTTTTCAGGTTTCTGTCTTTGAATATAAATTTGTAGACAATTGTTCCCTAGTTAAAACTTGCTTACCACCTAAGCAACGAATACTAAAAGTGTATCTCACACCAAGTGTTGTCATTTTCTTTTTGTAGAAAGTAAACTATTTCCTGTAACTTTCTTGAAAAGAAAATTTGACTCTACCAAAAAGAAAACATCTTTATTCGGAAAAATGATTTGGTATGAAACCTACGCTGTATACAGTCGTAACAAAATTACGAATATCAGATGTTATAATTTTTTATACATACATTTTGCGTAACGGTATAAAAATGCGTATAACAGTTTTAGTCATTTGATACATGGCACAGATATTGCGCCGCCACTTTATTAAGGCGACTTGTACATCAAATCCATCTGAAGTTAAATAAATAATCTGCATGTGTGAACATTACATGTGCAGAACATTTTAGAGTTCAGAATTTACTGAAACATGCTATACTTGTTCTATACTTGTTCTGTTAGCAAGTTATTATCAACTTTTTGTCCATGAAATATTAACTGAATACTGATTTTGCACCCTGTTTTGCGTGTATGTGTTATTTATTTTTTTATTTTTATTTTTCGGACCGATTCCGTCTATTATCGGTTTGACATCCTGTTAAATTAACAGGGAAAGACTGAATATTAAAAGAATTTTCATTGGTCATTTTAAAATTCTAAACTGAAAAAGTAATTAGCTTTGCTTATTACACCTTGTACACTATGTAAAAGAAAAGGGGCTAAATCTCCAATCTAAATATTTTCATAATTTTTATAATTCATATTTAAATGTATTAAAAGAGTTAAATTCAAACATTTATAAGTATAATTCTATTTCTAAAACACACTTGTAAGTCTCATGTATATATTAAACACTTAATTGTTTGTGAAGACATCACTTTTCTAGCGATAATTATATGTGTCTGCTACATAAGCGAATAGATTTTCAATACAGAGACATTTTCTTCCTGGCATGAAGAGTACAATGAATTTGATCAATCGGAGACAGTCTTGACAGAAAAATATTGATAGTGTCTATACATTGTGATAATTATTTATCAATTGCAAAAACGAATGGCTCCATCTTTTTTTTTAATCCGAGTCACAAATAATTTTGTGATGGACACCTTAGAAGCCAATTCTAATGTAATAAAAATCCAAATTAGACTTTTATTTGTTTGGGGGTTGTTGTTTTTTTAGGTTATTTTTGTTTTTTGTTGCATTTACTATTGCCGTTTGGGAGCATGATCTTTTTTCTTTTGTTAATGTCGAAATAAATAAAGATAATAAAAACTGCAGCAATGCTGTGAAATTCATATGCTGTCACAGTATTATATGTCAAAATATTCTTCTTGGACATTTCTTTTCAAAACAGAAACATTTACATCTCCTCCCTTCATTACGAATGTCTGTAATACATGTACAATTTTTTCTTAAAGAAGAAGCCAGTTGAAGTTAAAAATTTAATTTGTTTTTAGACAGACTCCTCCCCATAGGAAAAGAATTTATCAAAAGTCCCTAAGCAGCTCAACGCGAGTAGCGTTACCCTTTTTATTTGTTTCATATTAACCCAAGTAAAAGCAAATGATGTATTTTCATAAATGTATATACAATTGGTTATCTAAACATGACTTGTCGCTTCGGATAAGAAAAATGTTATAACCAGTGTGCATGCTGACACTGCCAATAAAATCATCCAATATTTTGTAACAAAATTTACAGAAATAGATATTACAACAGAGCATTGTAAGATGAATGACACAATGGCAATAATCTGTTTTCATAGTCTCGGTTCTGGAAAACCTATCCTTAGTTAGGTCAATATCTTTCATGCAATTAACCTAGTATAATCTTAACAGGGCATTATAATAGAAATATGTGTAATGAAAACACATTATTCCAACTTTATGCTTTTAATTTTACTGTAAATGTATTATCTTTTGTTTTGCTACGTCGAGCATAGCAGTATTAATGTTGCAAAATATCTGTCATGAATTCACAGACCACTTATATGCATTTCGTAGCTTAGAAAACCATATGGAATTTTACATAATCCACAATATTTCATTTATCAAAAAGGCATTATGATCTATCATACTGCAATATGCAAATATCCATTGTATTAGTGTTCGAGCTGTTATCAGTAGACGTTGTTTTTTTAAATATCGCTGCCACTTATTCCAGCTTTCCTTATTTTTCATTCAGTCAGCACTTTGTATTTTTTTGGTGTACTTTGATTATATTAGAAGTAAGCGCTTGACGATACCGTCCACGAGCAGGCTTAATCAAACCGAGTCAGCAACATTTCCTATTTTTCCGTTTTGGGCTGTCTTTGGGGATTCTTATTTTCTCTATTGATACGATGCAACTATCGCAACACAATAGCACAAGTCTAATTCACTACCTGTCAATTATTTCACATAACATTTTCTACGAGATAATTGTTATTGTTGCCAAGCTGTTTATCGGCATTCAAAATGTAACAGAAATGCCATGTATTAGTTTTATAATGCCTTTTAGACAATAAGAATTGAAATTTTTGTGGAAATAGAAGTTAATTTTTTTATAAAGTTATAAAATCTGAAACCTTAAATGTTCTTTAAAACAAATTTAATTATATTTTTTCTCAAAATACATAGGGTGGGTAAAAACAAAGCATTTACAATTGCATTTAATACTTATTGTCTGCCAACTGCCAAAATTCAAATTAAAAAACATATGACTATTTTGCTTCATAAATACATGTAGAAATCATTATGACTATTGTCGAAATAAAGATTAACGCCGTTTGTAATTTAAATGGGCTATAAACTATTAACCAAGATTTCAATTATTTTACTTTCAATATGAAACATAAAAAAACTTATCTCAAAAGCGGGAAACATTGACAAACCATGCACATGATGTGAACGTATACACGCTACACAACGGCTATTGAAAATTGTGAAGAACAAACAATAAAAATAAAATAAAGTATTGCATTACAAAATTTATGAATACATTCCTTTTCGATTGAATAATTTTAACAGGGATATGTATATATGTGTATTTTGTTTAATATCTTATGGTTATTGCATTACAAATATAACTTCCTGTGTAAGTGGTTATGAAATGTTTCTGGTCTTCGTTAGAAAAAAGAGTTGCTTATATCCAGTTAAAAAACAACAATGGATACCCTTAAAACTACGGTAGGTTCTAATGCTTTATGGATGGCTACGATGTAGTATACAAATTTAATTTTGGAACGAGTTATACACAGCTTTAATCTAATTTCCGTCATATCATCAAATATTTTTATAAATCTGTTTCAGATATGTGTACTGTTGCTCTGGTCGTGGGTAATATTAGGAAAATGTCAAATGCAAGGTAAATATTGATTTATATTGGTGAAATTTTGAATTAAGAGACATCTGCGTATGTGTTCATACGACAGTTATCACGGAACCTTCAATGTGACACGTTAGTGGCATACCATGAAAAGCGGCGTATGACCTCCAAGTAATAGAATGTGTGTGCCACCCTACCAACACCCCACCCCCACCCCCCAAAAAAAGAAAAATCGCGGAACTTAAAAAAAAGGACTTTTGAAAGGGGTTCTGATGTTATGAAGCATGCATTTCACAAACAAGACTTCAAAAGCCAAATTTAAAAAGAAGGCAATATATCCTAAGGTTGATTATGCAGTATTCAAGTAGGAGTACTGGAACCACCCAAGTTAAAATAGGTCAAATAAAAGGACCTGAAATACCACATGATATATACACACAAAATAATGATGTCGTGCTGAATGATCTTCAATGATCGAAAATATATCATCTTTGATTATATGTACGGGGAGACTTTAACGACCTTCAAACGACACAAATAACACAGGTGTGAAAAAATAAGGAAAAAAAAACGTTTACCTGAGTTGCACATGATTATATAAAACTTTTATATGAAATTATATGTAAGGCATACGTTTAGAAATGTGTAAAACCTTTTGTTACTCTACATAACCCTTTCACTATAAAGCAATTAGGTTAAAAAAACAATGACTGAGTTTTAAATTTCCACTGTTTGTATCACAAGATAAAGCTTTAGACCTTTTAAGACAAGTCCTTGTTTCGTTTTATCTCCGTACAATTGGTGTACAATCTGTTGATACATGCTATATGATATTAAGAAGATTGCTGAACGTAATATTTTGACTATATTATATATTCAAATAAAATACTTATACAAATAATTGATGCTATTCCAGATGATGAGATAGATTGCACATTCAACTGCACGTGTTGTAAGAATAAAGAATGTGGACCAGGAAAATATTTTGAAAATGAATGTAAGCACGGTTGCATTGCCGGGTATAGAGGGGCTAGATGCTATTTGAAGTGCACCCATGATTGTATAAAATGTGACCTCAATATTACTACATGTAGTGAGTGTAAAACAGGAAAATATGGAACTGACTGTATGCAAAACTGTTCTGTTGGATGTTTAACAAATAAATGCGCAGTAAATGATGGAAGATGTAAATGCTCCGATAAGTTCTATGGGTACTCGTGTGATAAATGCCAAATTGGGAGGTACGGACGGCTGTGTAACAATCAATGTTCCTTTGGCTGTAAGAACTATGAGTGTGACAGAATAACTGGTGATTGCTCAGCTGGATGTATTGTTGACACAATCACTGGTGATAAATGTGATAGTTGTTTTGATGGGTTTTACGGACATCTGTGTCACAAGATATGCTCGAAAGGTTGTAGAAACGCTACATGTCATAAACAAAATGGTGACTGTCTACTCGGATGCACGGACGGCTTCAATGGTTCAAGATGTGACCAATGCATTGAGGGAACGCTTGTTTTGACTTGTGGATGGGAAACAGATAACCAGGACAGAATTAACCAGGAAAGAGAAGGTTAAATTTATTTAAAGATATTGCAGTATTGAAGTATGTAATTTCAAAAGACACGAACGATCCGTTTAATTTTAACTTAAAGTAGTATCCAGCTATTTCATGTTTAGATCATTAGATAGTGGCCGGAATTTATTAGAAAAATGTTTGTTTTCATCTCACCATTTCAAATATGAGACCCAATTCTATTTCACAATTTATTGTAATGTTACATATGTGTTATTATAATAAACTGCAACTCATGGTCATAAATTTATTATACACAATTTATACTTTATATGATACAATCAAATATCATGATAACATTCTGTTATTTTTTAGAATCATCAACGGGCACACACCATGTTACATATGCTGTACTCGGCACATTTCTTGCAGTTTCAGCTGTTTCAAATATTGTTGTTTTTGGTCGTTTACTTAAAATAAAACTTGAAGCATCAAGAAGGTAAGATGAAACCTATATTGTTGATAACAGGGAATCTCATATTATTCGTCTAGAACTTTAAAACTGATCAGTCTGATATAATGGCTATAAAAGTATTTAATGATGACATAGAACTTGATACCTTTATAAATACCAGTCTGACTGAACGTATAATATTATAATACCGTTGGTCATGTGATGAAATAACAGTTTATGATATTTTTTTGATACAAGTCATTGTCATTGACAAATCATACAATGCAAAACATTCGATACGTCATTGACTTTCGTTTATGATACAAATTTGATGCATGTCGCATACCACTGAATTTGAATTATTACATTGATTCAAAATATGAAGCATCCAACTGATATTAATTGACATTAACTTACCATAAAAGATTTTAACTGGTCAATAGAAATTGACATTTACTTGATTTACAAGTTTTATAATGGTCACAAATCTTTGCATACAGTTATGTTTACAAATGAAATACATGTCACAACTGACCTACACTCATGGTTCAAGGAACAATCTATGAAGGCCACACAATATTGAAATTGACTGACCACAAGTTACTGACTTTTAGCCATTTTTTCATCATTTACCAAAGAAAAAAAGGAAACATGACTTACGTAATTGACATGCACATATCTGGCACAACATGAGGTGAGCATAAATAGTATGCACGTGACGAGCAAGTTGAAATTAATAACTGCAAATTATTCATTGATAACGATTTAAGATAAAATTCCATGAACTTATCGTGTATGTGAAATTGTCCGAAATCTTGAAATAAGAACAGCATTGTTATGGAGAAATAACAAGAACGTTTTACGTATCTGACTTTTGGAAGAAGATTATGAAGAGTTAAGGTCATCCTCGGATACCACGTACTCACATGTAACATGTACTCAATTACGATAAATGTTCGGTCGCGGGTATCCGACGATGAGTTTTGGTTAATTAAACGTGTAAATGTGTTCATACGAATAATATACATGTATTACTACTTATTCACATCATGACAAAAAGACCATATTTACAGAGGTAAAAGTGTACGACTATTTGAGTAGACCACGACACGAATTTTAGCATATTCGTATTTCTTTTCAAGTCGCAGAAAACATGAAGATCGGAAGGAACCAACTGCCTTTGCTGTTTATGAGAACACTAAGGGAAACGGTAAACATTGTTTGTTTGTTATTGTTGATACTGTTGTTTTTTCCGCATTAAATTTTACGTTCTCGGAGTTTTTAACTGTTTAACTGACGTTAATAAATAAATTACTGGTTTTAAGCATTTAATTTATTTATGTAGTTTTTTTTATGATTTTTTTTCAATGAATGTTTTGTCAAATCAACTTGATCTGAGGAATATCTTTAATTTAAAATCCTATTTGCGAACCATTGAATGTCAAGCGACGCGTTTGAACTACATGTAGTTAAACTCATGTTTGTTTTATGTGTCCTGATAAGTGAGAAAAATAGAAAAATAATCAATCATTAGGTTATTGACCAGCTTTGTTTGTCATCCAATGAAAACGCTGTATTTCTTAAGAAATTTGTGCGTTAATTTTCTTAGAAGAACAAAAATCTATAATTTATCAAATTCCGTTCATAGTAGCCTTCTATTTTTCATCCGCGTTCGTTAAAATAGTCGTGACATAATATTATTAATTTAATGAAGCCATTAAGTATGTAAGTATTCATCCGTAGCTGTTCTACAGAAATTAGAAACATTTTTCTGTCGCTATCGCTCTCGTCGAAGTTTCTAATATCTGTAGAACAGCACGGATGAACGCTAACATATACTTAAATTGAGGATTGAAAAAATAGGGAAATTGAACAAAGCATTGGCTTTGAATAATAGAAGCTAATAGTTGTTGAACATGAGTGATATGCCCAACGGTAAAACGAATATGGCCGGGTTATATACATTTCCAATATGATAAATCGAAATAGCATCATGTTACGTCATATTAGTTTATGTAGTAATATGTTTACGTGACTTACTAAACTCTTTTTGGTATTGTTATTGTAACTTTACTATATAGAAGTATTGCACTTTGCAAACTTTTTAATACAATATTAAATATTAAATACAATATTTTTTTCAGGTCTGCCTTACACTGAGAGAAGTTTATACAATGAACTTGAACATAAACAAGGTAATGTTTTTATAAATATCCATTATCGGTTAAAATATATATTTTAAAATGTTGCATTAATTTAAAGCTGCATGCCTCCAGATGAGTCAAAATATTTCAATAAAAGCAAACTTGAGAAATATGTACTACGATTTTTTGGAAAATTTAAAAAGTTTTCATGTTCAAGGTAATATTTTCACAAAATTATTTTTGGGAAAATTTGCCCTTAAAATTTTTCAGTTTTTTTAAAAATTTATATTTCTACTGCTTTTACAAACGCAGAAAGGGGAAAATCTATGCATTTTTTTGGGCCCAAAATTTTTTAAAAATTTTACCTTTGGGTTGTAATTTTGCGAATTTAAAATAAAGGTGTAATTGCTTTTTTTGGTTTTTATTTCAAAAATATAAAAAATTCAAAATAAAATTTTAAAAAATTTTCATAAAAAATTACCTTTGGAATCTGCAGGCTTTGCTGTTTTTAAAAAATTTTAATTTTACACTTCGGGTTTTGAAAAGAGGCCCTTGTTTGCAGATTGTTGAACTAATAAGTATATTATCTTTTTTCAGAAACCGAACATCCATATAGTGCGGCGGTGGTTTCTTGTGCTGAAAGCCGGTAAAACATAATACTTTTATAATATAACTATGCAAATCAAGTAAACATATTATATTAGAAGTGCATGTACATACATTTATTACTAGAGTACCTTATTCCTTTTTGTTTTTGTGCACTTTAAATATAAATCCGTTATTGTTCGACTAAACATGTTGATTGTTGTAAACATGCCATTAAAAAGTTAAAATGTAACCAAAAATTGTAAGATTCAGAAAATATACTTTACATAAAGTAAACATTGAGGCCAAGTGTATATTTTTTGAGGTATTAAGTTTATGTTTCTCTTTATAGTACTGACGTACAACAAGAGTCATCAGAGCCATCTACAGTGATTTACTATAATACGTCACATGTAGAAAGGACGGAAAAATGTGATGAATATGAAACAAAATAAATTAGGATCCAAAACTTATGGAGCAGGACAGATATAATTGTTTTAAACAAGAATTAATTTCTTCAATACAGACTAAACTCAAATTAAATATAGCACAAAAATGTAGAAAAATATATGTTTTGTATTTACAAAAAACATTTATAATTGACCGCCATAGAGAATATGATTTAAAACATAATAAGTCGAATAACAAAAAAAGAATAGAATAGAAAATTTAAGAACAAAATAGAATAAAGTAGAATAATCTTTAAAGATAGATTCATGTCATAGTCTGCGTAGCATAATCACTGACTTTATGTGGAAAACAAACTCAATAAGAGACTGTTAAAGATTCTGTATATTGTGATTAACGTTGTTAACCTTGTGTGTTTTTTAGTTTATTTGTACTCGCCACCGGTTGCCCATACGGGTGAGTCCCTCCAGAGGAGTATTAACTCATTTTTCATATTTTTGGGAAAGGATAGTGGCAAAATATCGATTCAGAGAAAGATTTCTCGAATTCCAGAAAGCTTCCCCCTTGGTTTTTCTTTAACGTGAAGAGGTTCAGCACCATACACGAGACCAACCTCGATTTAAAACTGGATTAGTAACGTTATATAAGGATGGCCAGCCGGGAATCGAACCCCCAATGTCCGAATTACAAGTGGATCAACCCCACATTCAGTGAAAATTTATATTGTATATAATTATTGCTTAAAAAAAAACAAATTTTTAAACTCAAAGAATATGTTAAAATATGTACTCTGCATTGTATGAAATTAACCGGCAAATTTAAAATTGCACCATATTATATTGTATCCATTAAAATGTATGCATTTCTTTCTAATTGGAAAAAATTTGACTTAAACTTTATAGAAAATAAATTTCTAATTACCTCCCTTTATTTTCAGGAAATTTTAAATTTGGTAAATCTTTGTAGATAATGCTTTTAAGAACCTACAATATTGATAAATCTTAATTATAGCATCTTATTTATGATTTAAAACAATAAAAAATTGTGCTACAGCATTTTTAAAAACTTTTTACCAAAATTAAATTAGATGTAACAGTGTCATAAATACCGCTGGCTTAATGTTCATTTCTGTTTAATTGGTATGATGAAGTATGTTTCTGTCATTACAATACTTTCTCTGTATATTCTCGATTAAAAAGTACATTTCTTTTGAATGCATTTTTAGATGTTGTAATTGTGACAAAGGATGTGTTTCAAAAATAATTTTATATGTGATTTTTAGTTTGGTACAGGAAAAACTAATGCGATAACTTCCTGTTGGTTTTGAATTGATGAAGTATGATTATGATGCGAGATGTCTGTCAAAACCTGAGGGTCTGTTTGCCCACAACATCTCTGCTGATAGCTTAACATTCTAGAATGTTTGCCAATTTGGAAATAAGCTATAAAAACAACATGACATGCATTTTGTTACATGAAATATATATGTTCATTTTAGTAAACGAATATTGCTGATTAAAAGGGCTTAAGTTTTTAAGGCTGGGGGGAAAGCATTTTCATTTAAAATAAAACTCCCCCTTTAGAAAAAGGGTTTTAACTTTTTAAAATTGTTGCAGGGGTTATTTTTTAAATTTTGTGTAACTAAATACACAAAGACCCCCCGCCCCAAATAAAAATGTTGCATTCCATAAAAAAGGGGCTTTTAAAATTAATTTACAAAAATAACATTTGAAGGTTGGTTTTTTTTAAAAGTTTTTCCAAAAAAAAACCCGGGCCCCAAATTTTTGATGGTTTACACAAAATTGAAAATTAAATTGCGGGTTTGATCCGAGTCATCAAAAAGAGGTTTTAATTGGAAAACCCCTCAAAATAAATTTTTTCCACACTTTCTTTAAAGATTAAAGGTGAAAAAACTGTTTAATACTTAAGAAAAAAATTTTTTTTTTGTTGGATAGTTTCGCTTAAATTTACAATAAAAGCTGTGGATAGTGTAGTCATATAATTTATAAATTCGTTAAAGTGCCAATTTGTTAGACTTGTGAAACTAATTTTTGTTTGAGAAACACTTATTAATCTGTTAATTAAGACAAGTGTTTGGAATAGATTTGAAAACTAGTGATTCAATATGGTTAAAAAATTTGTCAGGATTGGATTTCACATTGCTTTGGATGTATCGTAGATCACTCTTGATTTGACTTTTCTATTGTTTACTTTTACAATTCTACATTTGACTTTTATACAGAATCAGATGAAAAATATTTAAAAGATGATATAGATCCCTGCATTATTCCCTGGTACGTCTTTTGTATCTTAACCCTTTCACTTGCCATAGGGACGGCTTATGCCGTCCTGTTATTTTCGGCGTATTGCCATATGGACGGCTTTAGCCGTTTCTATTATAATAATAATAGTAATAATAATAAATTAAAAATAATAATAATAATAATAAATTTAAAGAAAATTATACCATCGACAATAATTATTATTATACTCACAGATTTGAAAACATATATAATTATTATAATACTAATAACATATAATAATAATTATATTAATTAATAATATAGTAATTTCTCAGAAAACCCTCTGGCAAATAGGTGATCAATAAAACAATAACCCTCTGGCAGCTAAAGGGTTAATTTGATTTCCGGCGTATTTCATCGCGAATACACATCGAAGACATTTATTGCGGAGCAGAAAAGAAAAGTAAATATTAGTCATTTTTTCTGCAGACTTTCATTTTGCCCAAAATAGGAGTTGGCGGGTCGGTAGACCAAAATTTAATATATATAAAAATAGGGGCCGTAATTAGATTTTTCAAAAATTTTTTGAAAAAAAATGAAACATCGATGCCAAAAGTTTTGTTTACAAAAAAAAATGAAAAATCGCGCGGGAAAAACCAAAAATTTTTCCCCCTTAAAAAACTACAAAATTTTAAATTTAAGGGTTTGCTGCTTAATATCGGATAAAAAAACTGTAGGTTTTATTTTTAAATTTTGAACGAAATTTTAAATTGTTTTTTGGGTGGAAAAAAAAAACACGTACATTTGTCACATAGAAAGGGTAAAAAACCATGTCAAACCCCCTTTTCGATTATATCTTTGTGATTCGAAACCCGGAAAACCCGGGGGATTTTTTCCCGGAAATGATTTTTCCCATTTTATAAAAAATTGGGGGCTTTTTTTTAAAGGGTTAAATTTTTTATGTTTAATTGTATTCCCAAAATTATTTAAATTCCCCCGTACATTACAAATATAACTTCCTTTCAAAGTGAATATGTAATATGTTTGGTCTTCGCTAACAGAATATAAATTGCTCACAACCAGTTTAGAAAACAATAATGGATGCCTTTTTTAAAAAACAACGGTAGGTACATATGTCTTATGAGATTACTACAATGTAGAATACAAATGAACTTTTTGAACGAGTTATACACAGTTTTAATCTCTTTTTTGTCATGTCACCAAATATCTTTATAAATCTATTTCAGATATGTGTTTCTGTGGCTCTGGTCCTGGGTAGTATTAGGAAAAGTGTCAGTTACAAGGTAAAATATTGACTTAATGATTGAAAGCCCCATTGTGGCTGAGGGGTTACCTTAAATAGTTCAGGCATAAGAATTACAGCCATCATATATCACGGCATGATCAGAAGAGGCGACTAAACGGGTTTGAATAACTGGAGACTATGAAACTCTTAGCTCCATGTGAGCTGGTTTTGGTGATGCCATTTAACGTAGCACCGGCTTAAGTATAATTCAACATTAAAACATAAAAATTGTGAAATGTTGAATTTAGAAATATCCGCAGAAGTGTTCATACGAGGGTTATCATGGAGCTTTCAAAGTGACACGTTATTGGCATACCATGAAAAAGTAATAAGATATGAGTGCCCAAAAAGCAATGGGATGCCAAAATACAAATTTAAAAAGCAGGCAACACATCCTTAAGGTGAGTATGCAAGAGTGCTGGAACCACCTAAATTAAAATAAGACAAATATAAGAACCTGAAATACCACATGATATACACATACAAGAATGCTGCCGTGCTTAACGATCTTCAAGGATCGAAAAAAATAACATCTTTGATTATATGTACGAGCGACTTTTTTAGGCCTCTAAAAGACACAAATAACACTGGTGTGGTAATGAAATAGAGAAAAACGTTTATATGGTCGATATTGCGAATTGAACATGATTATTTAACAAAAATATATAAAATGATATGTAAGGCATACGTTAAGAAATGTGGAAAGCTTTTTGTTACTCTACATAACCTTTTCACGATAAAGCAATTAGGTTAAAAAAAACAATGACTGAGTTTTAAATTTCCACTTTTTGTATTACAAGATAAAGCTTTAGACCTTTTAAGACAAGTCCTTGCATCGTTTTTTCTCCGTACAGTTGGTGTACAATCTGATGATACATGCTATATTATATTAAGAAAATTGCTGAACGTAATATTTTGACTATATTATATACATTTGTATTCAAATAAAATACTTAGTTACAAATAATTAATGTAATTTCAGATGATGAGATAGATTGCACATTTAACTGCACGTGTTGTAAGAATAAAAAATGTGGACCAGGACACTATTTTGAAAATGAATGTAAGCACGGTTGCATTGCCGGCTATAGAGGGGCTAGATGTTATTTGAAGTGCACCCATGATTGTATAAAATGTGACAAAAATATTGACACATGTAGTGAGTGTAAAACAGGAAAATATGGAGTTGACTGTATGCAAAATTGTTCTGTCGGATGTTTAACTAATAAATGCGCATTAAATGATGGAAAAAATGTAAATTGCTCCGATAAGTTTATATGGGTTACTTCGTGTGATAAAATGCCAAATTGGGAAAGGTATGGAGAGCTGTGTAACAATCCCAATGTTCCTTTGGCTGTAAGAACTAAGTGTGTGACAAGAAATGACTGGTGATTGCTTTATTTAATGGATGTAAATTGTTGACCACAATTTATTGGTGATAAAATGGTGATAGTTTTGTGTTTGGAGGGATTTTTACGGGCATCTGTGTCACAAGATATTTGCTTTCGGAAAGGTTTTAAAAAAAACGGTTACAAATGTCAAAAGCAAAAACGGTTGAAATGTCTAACTCGGTGCCACTGACGGCTTCAAAATGGTTCCCAGATGTGACGAATTGTTTTATTGAGGGAACGCCTTTCTTTGACTTGTGGATGGGAAACAGTAACCAAGGACCAGAATTAAGCAGAAAAGAGGAAGGTTTAAATTTTATTTAAAGAATAAGCAGTATTTTTTTTTGTCTCTTTGTGTTTTTTTTTTTTTTTTTTTTTTTTTTTTGTGAAGTACATAATTTTAAAAGAAACGAACGATCCGTATAATTTTTAACTTATAGTAGTATCCAGCTATTTCATATTTAGATCATTAGATATTGGCCGAAATTTATTAGAAAGATGTTTGTTTTCATCTCAAAATTTCAAATATGAAACACAATTCTATTCACATATTTTATTATAATGTTATACGTGTGTTTTTATAATTAACTGCAACTAATGCCACTGAATTTATTATACACAATTAATACCCATATTTTTAAGCGTGGAAGGGATCTTTACTATATTATAACATTAAATTGACAACTGAAAATAATTATTAGTGTTTACTAATGCTTTCAAAGGAACAATTGGGTTAATTTAGATTTATATGACACAATCAAGACAAAATATGTTGTTTACTTTCTGTTGTTGTTTTTTAGAATCATCAATGGGCACACAACATGTTACATATGCTGTACTCGGCACATTTCTTGCAGTTTCAGCTGTTTTGATTTTTTTTGTTTTTGGTTGTTTACTTAAAATAAAACTTGAAGCATCTAGAAGGTAAGATAAAGCCTAAATTATTGGTAACATAGGTGTTCGGCGCGTTGATTTGTCACTTCCCCGGCACCAAGCCCCCCCCCACCCGGTCTACAACCCTCCTACCTCTCAAAACCATGTAAACTGCAGTAATTTTCATTTGAAACATGTTTTAATATTTGGTATATGCTTTTAAATCAACTTCCCTCATTTCCCACAAAAAATAAAAAATTGATACATATATATTTAGTTAAGGTATGCAACTCGCCGCTCATTTTTCAGAACTCATCTTAATATGATCTCCATTACTCCAACATTATTTCACTTATTTTCAAAATCTTGGTACCAAACAGTAGGGAATTGATTACTCTTAAAGGAAATAAAGCTGTCATTTTATTTATTTCAAATTATAAGAAGATATGTAATCTCGAAGTCACCGCAAGTGTAAGTCGACAGAGACCTGACCGCTGAGTTTTTGTCAAAATTACCCGACTCAACGGCAGTTTATTCAAAATGAATGAATATTTGTTTGTATTGTGCATATAAAAATGATAAAATTATATTTGTTGTAATAACTGTTCAATCAAAATATCATATTAAACTATAAAGATAATATTATTTATACTATTTTGAAACATGTCATTGTCATTGACATATGATAAAATGCAAAACATTCGATAAGTTTATGATGCAAATTTGATGCATGCCGCATACCATTGAAATTGAATTATTACATTCATTCAAAATATGATGCATCCAATTGATATTAATTGACATTAAAGATCCTGTATGTTGTAATTGAGCTTGTATACCACACGTAGATGAAATTTTATATCTGTATAAATTATGCTTTTATAAAACAATTTTCAAACATCGAAGAAATATGTAAAAATTGTACTGCAAATATTTGTACATATTATATGTAATCGTGTTAAAAATATATGCATTCATTTTCTTATTGAAAAATTTGACTAAGTCTTTATAGAAAATAAATCTTATTACCTCCCTTTATTTACATGAAATGTTAAATTCGGTAATATCTTTATAAATTATGCTTTTTGGAACTTACAAAATTGATCAATCTTAATTTGGGTATCATAAAAATATGTTAAATGATCTTTAACTTACCACAAAAGATTTTTACTGATCAATAGAAATTGACATCTACTTGATTTACAAACTTTATAATGGTCACAAATCTTTGCGTACAATTATCTTTCAAAAGAAATACATGTCACAACGCTAACTGACCGACATTCAAGAAACAATCTATGAAGGCCACACAACATAGACATTGACTGACCACATGTCACTGACTTTAAGACATTTGTTTATCATTTATCAAAAAAAATGGAAACATGTAAAACGTAATTGACTCATATATTTGGAACAACATGAGGTGAGCATAGTATGCATGTGACGCACAAGTTGAAATCAATGATTGCAAATTATTCATCGAATTAAAAAAATGCCTGTTAAAAATTCCATAAACTTATCGTGTATGTGAAATTGACCGAAATCTTGAAATAAGAACAGCATTGTTATGCAGTCATTAAAAGTGTATGACTTTTGGAAAAAGATAATGAAGAGTTAAGGTCATCGTCGGATACCCACGGTTGATTAACATGTAATCAAGCCGTGGATAAAATGAATGATTACGTTAAATATCGAACAATGAAATCGCGTTTAACAAAAGTTATATTCTTCAACGACAAAGGTAAAAACTATCAATAAGAGTACATTTTCTATGATTTTTTGCAGGAAATCGTTCACATTATTAAATTCTTAACTTTTCAATGCTGACTTTGATTGTTGCCGCAAGTTTGTCTGTAATACCGAACGCCGTATAGAACGAGCATTTTGATAAGTTTAATCACCTTATTAAATCCTGAGGCCATAAATCAAATATCTTTTTTTTGATTCACTTCTTATCAAATTGATATCGGTAAAACAAATCCAACGGCTGATAAATGTTTATGGTTCGGCCGCTGGTATCCGACGATGAGTTTAGGTTAAACGTGTAGACGAGTTCATACGGACGATAAGGTGCTACTTATTCTCGTCATGACAAAAATACCATATTTACTGAAGTTAAAGTGTACGAGTATTTGAGTAGATCACGCCACGGGTTTTAGCTTATTGGTATTTCTTTTCAAGTCGCAGAAAACCTGAAGATCTGAAGAAACCAATTGTCTTTGCTGTTTATGAGAACACTAAGGAAAACGGTAAACATTGTTAATTTGTTATTTTTGTTATTATTGTTGTTGTTGTTTTCTGGATCAAAGTTTACGTTCTTGGTATATTTAACTGTTTAACTGAAGTAAATAAATAATTTCTTGTTTTAAGCATTTACCTTATTTGAAAATTGAGTGTGTAATGAGTATGTATTTTAGAACGGTAAAATTCTCATACAATTGATAGCTGTTCAAGGAGTTTATCTCAATAAATTAATAACTGTTCCATGTGCACTCTCATTAAAAAATGGACTGTTTTAGATGCATTGTTAATTAATAAGTTATTGTTTATGAGATCTAGTCTAGTAGAGTGTCTATTGAGTCGAAATTAATTAACAAAATAACATAATCTAACTCTACCTTGGTCCGACTTGAAAACTATATACCCATCGGTTACACTGTGTTACTAAAAATAGAACACTAAAAATTCTTTGTAAGACATTTTGCATTGTAAACATAAGTGCTTTATACGCCCGTTTGAAAAAACAGGTCGTATTATAGGTCCTCCCTGGCGGACGGGTGGACTCTGGGCGGGCGGCTTCTGCACGAACTAGTTCTCTAGGTCAAAGATCAAGGTCATTCATAGAGGTCATTGAAAAACGCTTTTTCTGAGCAAAACTTCTTCATGCATAAATTACATAAAGGGATTTCAATATAGCTTGCGCCAAATGTTGCCATTGTGAAGCGGAGTAACGCGTGCAATATTTAAGTCCCTGCGGCCAAGGTCAAGGTTACACATAGGGGTCAAAACTCAGATAATAAATGTGTATTCGGACCATTTAGTCATCACTCAATAAGGGATTAAAACAGAATTGGTCATTAGCATAACTACATGTACCAGTGTGAAACATGTATTAAGGTTAATATATGCAATGTCAAGGTCACTATCTCCTACACATATGGAGGGATTCTAATGAAACTTTATACAAATGTTCACCTCTATGAGAAGCAGTGACATGTGCATGAACCAGGTCTCTAGGTCAAAGGCATAAAGGGTTGTCAATATAACTTATCAAAAATGTTAACGATTGTGCGGCTAGTGTCGCGTGTAAAATTTAGGTCCATGCAGCCAGGATCACTGTCACTTATAGAGGTCAAAGTTCAGATGTAAATATGAAAATGTGTATTTGGACAATTTAGTAATCATTTATTGGGGGATTGAAACAAAAATGGTCATTATCATAACTGCTGGTGTAAACATGAAATTAAGGTTAATGTATGCAAGGACAAGGTCACTAAAGATGATAAAATTTAGATATTTTGCCCAGAGCATATCTCCTCTATGCGTGATGGGATTCTCTAGAAACCTCATACAAATGTTCACCCCTATGAGAACCAGGTCTCTAGGTTCAAGGTTAAGGTCGCACTTAGTGCTCATTGAAAAAGTTTTGTCGGAGCCAAACTTCTACATTCATCGGATAATTTTAATGTCCACATATCTGTCTAAATTTTTTGTGACGGGCGTATTGTGCGACTATGTTGCCCTTGTTTTTAATAATAACGATGATTCTTGATGACGAATCTCATTTGAATATATTTTCATTGGCTATGTTGTTACATTAACTAGATCAATAGAAAATCTTTGCAAATGGAAAAAGATTGTGTCATCTATTGCACTGAATTCTTCATTAACACTTACGTAATTACAATTTTTGTAATGATAACTGCGCTTTATGATGACGAGTCTGATTTGAATTTGCTTTTAATGAGTGATCAGAGGTAAAATGCTATTTGTTAATCATGGAATGTCAACCGCCTAAGTCCCGGTAAGTTGATGAAGTTAAACTGGTGTTTTTACTTAGTTGTTTGTCCTGGTAAGTGAGAAAAAAAATCAATTATTTGGTAAGATTATGAATCGGGAAAATATGGAAATTGAACTATAAAACATTGATAAGGCATTGGCCTTGTATAATAGAAGTCACAGGTTTCGAGCATAACAATTGTTGAACATGAGTGATATGCCCGACGGTAAAACGAATATGACCCGGTTATATTCATTTCCAGGATGATAAATCAAAATAAAACTATCTGACGTCGTATTAGTTTATTTAGTAATATGTTAACGTGAATATCAATAACAATAATAATAATAATAATGATAATAATTAATTTAAAAATAATGGTTAAATGAATTATAATTGCATATTATTATTATTATTATTATTATTATTTTAGTATTATTATTATTATTATTATTATTATTCATAATTATTAAAATTTGTTATCTTTTATTAAAAGAAAATCAAATGTATACCTGTCGAATAATTCTAAAAAAAGCAATTGAGTAAAATTCAATTGAAACTCTTTTCCAAAAACTTTTTGTTGCAAAAAGAATTCCTGTTGGATTTTTTCCAACAAATATAATTGGAAATAAATCCAATTGGATTTTCTTTTTTCAAACACCTTATTGGTAATTAAGCGTGAATACGTATGTTAATTTTCATCGAAAACTATCATTTCCCTTTTATTAGAACTGCTTTTATGCTTTTTCTCTAAAAATACAATCGGATTTTTTCCAGTTTTCAAAATGGGATTCTTATTTTATCGAATATGATCTTCAAAATTAGCCAGAATATCATTAAAATGATATGTTAATGATGTTTTTTATAGTTTAAGGGTTTCTAGAAAAATGGAAATTCCAAGTGGAATAAATAAAAATGTTTGAAAAATCCAATTGGAATTTAAGTTATTCCGCCCGAACATCATATTTCCGAGCGGATTACATGAAAATCCGCCAAGACAAATTTTTTAAAATATTTTTTGATACGAAAAATAAAATAGCATTAAACAAAGTCAAATATTTCCAATTATCTTGAATCTACCATATCAAATCATTTTCAAGTGTTTAGGGCAAGGCTTAATGGTAGTGAATTCAGGTGGTGCAAAGATTTTCAGGTGGCTGTTTATTATAAGTTTACTTTATAATAGCATGCATTTCGCAAACTCTATTTTAATACAGATTAAATAAAATATTTTTTTACAGTTTTGCCTCAGACTGAAAGAAGTTTGTACAGTGAACTGGAACATAAACAAGGTAATATATTTTATATATATCCACTACAGGTTAAGATATAATTATAATGTTTCAATGAAATGAAAAGCAATTAATTTAAAGACATTTTCTACAGTTTTATGAAAATTTAATCCTTACCTAGATTGTTCTAAATTTTTTGTAAGATTAGCTTAATTTAATGGCGAATTCAAAAATAAAAAGAAAAATATATGTTGACGCGTTGGATTTCTTGTAAAATGGCAGTTTCCATGGTAACCGTATATCTCAAAACTGTCAAAATAGGCAAACCAAAAAGTATAAGACAGTTTAATAAACACACAATACGCATAATTTTATACAAAACTTGCTTTATCTAAGGGTTCTGTATGAAACAAATGATAATCTGAACATATTTCTTTAAAAAAATGAGTTTTTCATGCTTCTTAACTGAAGAAAAATGGGAAGAATAAACATGAATTCTGTAAATAATTAAATATATCGAAACATTTCTTTCTTAGTATTTTCTACAATTTCAATATGTAAAGTTAACTTTTATGGTGAGTTCATAAACAAAAATAAATATATATGTTGACGTGTAAGATTTTTGTAACGGGCAGTTTCCATGGTTACAGCATATGCAAACTATCAAAATAACCACGCTTTCTTAAGAAATATAAGTGTTATACTAAATGCATTTTTATAAATATAACAAAAACATGTTGAAATATAAATTTATATTTCTTTTGATGTTATATGAAGTAAATGATACTGAATATGTTTTTTTAAAACAAGTTATAGCATAAGGCCATATCATTTCTTCACTGACTAACTACGAGAACAGTAAGCAAATATTCAGAAATTCAAAAAAAATGAAAATCGGAACATATCTCAGAATCTGATAGTATTTTTGTTTTTATTTAACATTTCTCATATCATTTTAAACTTCTTTGCCCACTTGTATGTAAGTAATCAAGTGGCGACGCACTTTTCTTACTACCACAAGTGGTTGGGGTAACGCGCGCGGAATAATCACCAATGTTGTCGTACTAATGCTAGGAGAAATGCTTTACTAAACGACCCTTTTATTCTTTTGAACCGATCTCCTTCTGCACGATAAGAAATATTTATTCTGTATTAATTACTCATTATTTGTTTGTAGTCGAAATTTAAACAGTTGTCCGAGAACTATTCAACTACCTTTTTTTGAAGAGTAACTATCCCTAATTTTCTTTCTTGGGAACGCTTTACGATGCGCACAAAAATCTAACGAAACATCTTTAACAGTTAACAGTTAATATACGCTTCTGATCTGAAATAGGGGTTTTTTAGTAGAGTGTTGAGCTTATAGTTATATCATCATTTTTTTCAGAAACTGAACATCTATATAGTGCGGTGGTTTCTTGTGATGAAAGCCAATAAAGCATGGTACTTTTAAAATATATGCACATCAGGTAAACATGTAATATTAGAATTACAGGTAACAATATACATTTATTGCTACAGTGCCTAATTTTTTTGTTTCTACATGTTTTGTGCACTATAAATGTACATCCGTTAATGTTTGACTAAACAAGTTGATTGTTGTAAACATGCCATAAAAAGTTATAATCAAGAACAGAAATTGAATGATTCTGTATGATATACACTGAGTCCCAGTGTATATTTTTTGAGCTATTTAGTTTATGTTTCTCTATTATAGTACTGACGTACAACGAGAGTTATCAGCACTATCTACAGTGATTTACTGTAAGGCTTCAAATGTTGAAAGGACGGGAAAATGTGCTGAATATAAAACAAAATAAATAAATATCCAGGACATATGGACCAGGACAGATATGTTTGTTGTACATAACAACTTATTTCTTCAACAGATTAAATATAGCACAAAAATGTAAAAAACATGTTATATACACCAATACATTTATAAATGACCGCCATGTAGAATATGATATAACGCATAAGAAGTCAAATAACAAAATAGAATAGAATAGTTTAGAATAGAATAGAATAGTTTTTAAAGAGAGATTTATGTCATAGTCTACGTTGCTAATCACTGACTTTACCCCTTGTCATTATGTGGAAAATGACTGTTGAAAACGTTTAACCAATTTGTATAACATTGTCATATGTTAAACGTGTATATACACCTGGGTTTATGTTCATTTCTGTTAAAATGGTATGATAAGGGTTATTTGTTGTCATTCCGCTATTTTCATTATATATTCTCGATTAAACAATACATTTCTTTTGACTTGCATTTTAGATGTTATCCTTGTGACAAAGGCTGCGTTGTTTTTTGGGGGTCAGCTCGCCCACTACATATCTGCTTATGGCTTAAATTCTATAGTTGTATACGGTAAACATAAATATAAAGATTGTAGGACGTCCATATTTGAAGTCCAAAATAATCTAACATTCAATATAAGAATTTTTAATAAGGATATCTATAGCTTAATTTTCAATTCTGTTTAAATTCAGAAAATCAACTATGAAAAACAATCAACCTTGAACATAGTCAATTAGGGAAGTCATTGTGTTTTCCCTGTTTCTTGTTAAAATCCCGACAAGAACGTAATTCTTGATGGACAGTATTACTGACCACTAAATGATTCTTGTGAGATCTGAAGGAATTTTTTGCGTTGACAATGTAGCTTGATTTAAATGGCATACACATTTTAGTCGTGCGATTAATCTGTGTCTTGCTTTGCCCCCAAAATTGTCCCAGAAGGTGGGAGAGAGGCATTGATTAAATACGGAGCTTTCACTCACAACTCGAGGAACTTAAGCTTTTGGATGTACGTTGTTCAGATAAGTTTAATATTTTTCATTTCATTCTGTAGGGTCTATTTTTAAGCCACCAAAAGTTTAATAGTTGGCCATACAATCCTGTTTTAACAAAAGTACCGACTGAATACATTATAAGTAGTAATATTAGCTAAAATAATTGTTCGTATGAAAAAATAATAAGTGATAAATGTCATTCACGTGAGAAATGCAACACAGAAACAACATTACTGCAGATGTGAAGATTAGTTTCTTGTGTGAATTTTGCAATCCAAAATATACATTTCACGGAAGATCCTATTTGAGTCTGCAAGAACAATTGATAGTAATTTTGACCTTTTGTCTGACGTTACTTTTACTTTATTGTATTTCACAGTCAGGGCACATCATTCCTAATACCTTTCGAGCAAATTGTGTATTGTATATATGTTAATATGATTTTTATCATATGTAATTATGTAAGAAAGCTTACACGTCTCATATAAATGTAATTCTTTATCAAATCAGCCGCGGCGCGGGAGTGTCAACTTAAGTTTTAATATTCTGTTCTTACAGGAAGATTGGGGCCTATTTATTCATTTTCAATATGTTAGTTTAAAAATATTCTACTCTGAATTCAGTCGCTATGGACGAGCTTATGTTGATATTTGACCGTGACATTTTTACGTTATAGTTTTTCCTATTAAAGAGGTGTACATAATGTGAAATTTGAATTTATATGTATACTTTTCCTTTATTTTTAAATAATTTCTATATGACTTAAATCCTTCATATTTTCCTTTATTTTCCTATCTTATCAAAATTAAAATATATTTAAGCAAAAAAATTGTTCATACACAAGCCTGCCATTCAGAATGCATGTCATCAGAATAATTGTAAATTTTAATTTGCTCGATACGCAGGTATTGCTATTTTAAAAGTTTGTTATTAATGTTTATTGCAAAAAGAACTATGATGGAATGGTACATAAAAGCATTATATAGCTGCTTAGTGGACAAGTAAGATTTTTTATATCTCTTTTGTACAATTATGTGTTATTTCTATAAATCCCGGAAGGTTTAAAAAAGTTTCTATATTTTCAGTAAGCATCCTAAATTTTGTTTTGAAGGTAAACAGTAAAAAATTCAATATCATTTCTACATTTTGGCTTTGAAAAATTCTTATTTTCTCAAACGTCATTTGACAGCTTGAGAGCACTTTGGCGAATGGCGTCGTAAAAAATTTATTTAAGACATAAACATCGCTTTACTTGGCATATAGTAACAGAAAATAAAACACCTTATGTAATGTTCATGATAGCACTTTGTTCCAGTAAAGGTTTTAGGTTAATTTGGTGTCTCAAGTTATACATCTTCACTTGAAAGGAACTAAGATAATTAAGGCGGCTTTTATCTATAAATTGACAAAGATAATACTAATTGTGTCATTTATCTAACTATGCTTTGTTGTTATATTGATTTTGTAGCTTAATATAGAAGGATTTTATTGGCATTGCCAGAATGCACTCAGCTGATATAATGTTTCCTGTGTTAAACGACATCTTATGTCGCAATAAATTATTGTCTGTATAAGTTTGTTCTTATTTGATCTGTGAGGAAGGAATATTTATGTGTCAAAAAAAATATAATTATTGAGAAACAGCTAAATCAGTTTTGCCGTATTAAACATAACATTACTCCTCTATTATAACTAAAATACGATTGTTTTTGCAAGGAGGTATAGCTCGTTTCTGTGTGTAAACATTCAAACACACTTAACTTGAATACACGTTTTAGTCCAAATAGTGACTGTCTCTGTTCTTGACGTCAAGAGAATTATTTATGTTCCCCAAATGAGTTATCCCGTAACAAATATAACAAGAAATATTAAAATAACACATAAATCAAACACTTACAACATTGGCTCCATTTTGTGAAACTGTTTATGCATTTACCAAAGAGAATAATCTGTGTGTAATACTTTCATTTTTTTCCTAGAAAAAAATTGTATCTTTGTTCCTATGATAGGTCATAAAAGAAAATGGGCTTTTGCTTAAATTTACTTAAGGCAGACAAGAAGTTATATTTAAACAGTAAATTGAAATTGGCAGTTCGGTTGTGACCCATTCAGTTCAAACGCAAGTTATTATTTGATTTAATATTCAAGGAAACTGTTTTTTCTAAGTCAATTACAGACAGTCTAATGAAATTTCTAGGGAGAAGGAGTTGCAGTTACTTCGCAAGAAAATAATCATAGTTGAGTTATTTTGACATTTTTAGTTGGCATCAGACATCTGATGTGATAACATAGCTGCACTTTTTCATCATAGTATCAAAATAAATCAAGGGAAGTAGGTAGCTTCCTTTGAGATTAGAGTTTTGCAGGCAATAACCTTTCAATATTGGTATTGGTGTTTTTAGTGATGTTTCAAGTTGAAAAGGGATATATTGATAAACTCGTTAATATAACCTGGGCACGATATTCAAAAACTTCACAACTCTAAATTTAAAGTTTTAAGTCTATCTTTACAACTTTTTTCTTATCAATATCTTTGATAAATGCCAAAAATAATATACCAGTGTTAAATGTAGTATATACGGAATGTGTACCGTGGGTTCCGTATGATTCATTTAATTTTTGTCAAAAATGCATTATTTTTTACATCACATTTCAGTAAGAAAACTCATTTCAAGTAAAAAAGAAGAAAAATGCAGGGCAAATCTTGCAAAATGCATAGCTGTACATGCATTATCTTACTTTTTGTCTTAAATGTTCCATATATACGTTAAAAATGTCCCAAATAAAGAAAAAATATGACAGTTTAAGCATATTTTTAAGAATTGGTGATACATTTAAAACTCATAACAGTTTTCTTTTGTCGGATTTTTAATTGATAGACACTATTATTATACTTTAATATGTTATGCAACAATATTTATATAAAAGGGTTTTTTTTCTAAATGAGAAGAAAATAGCTGTTGCTTAAGAAAAACTCCTAAATTAAGCCACTCATTTTGACACGCCTACTTTACTTAAATATATAATTTATTCTCCTTATAAATATATAATATTTATGAATAAAGTAGAAGTTTTTTTTTAATAAAGGTGACTTTTTATGTGATCAAAGCTTGACTTTTCTATCAAACTTTCAGCCAATGTACAGTTGTAATTAAGTAATAAGTTTCTATCTTAATTTTCGTTAAAAGAAAAATAGGAATACTAAAAATATGGAAACATACTGAGGGACTCCACTGAGGTTTTTTGACATGATGGGACTGAAAATATTTTTTTCAGATAATTGTCTCATTTAATTAGATTTAGACCACTAATTTTTGTACAAATTTCAGATCATTCGGGTACTTCTTTTTTTCCAGAATTATTATTCAAATTGTAAAAAAATGACCCAAAATGAAAAGCGTTAAAACACATTTCACCCAAATCAGGCTAAGAAAAGCATAAAAATACAATTTATTTCAAGGTATATTTCTTAACTATCTTTGCATATATTTCTGTTTAAAGTGCCTCAGCTCATTTATGTAAGAAATTCAAATGTTATGTTTTAAGCTTTTTAACCGCAGTGGAGTCCCTTTAAGGTTTTCGCTTAGGAATGCAGTAAGCTTAAGCTTTGCAATTTGCTGTCTCTTAAATTTAAAAGAGAGAAGGATAAGCAAAGTATGATGATTTAGTACGTTTTGTAAGAGTGTTATGTTTGTTGAGGCAACATTGATTAACCTCTTTCTTAATATATACACTTACCATTGACACTAAATTTTCCTTTCACAGTAGTTCGATCAGAAGAAACAAAATAATTATTGCAACATAAGCTGTCGTTCAAGACAGGAACGATTATATCTGCTGAGTGCATTCTGACAATGCCAATAAAATCATTGAATATTAAGTTACACATTTTACAGAAATCGTTATTACAACAAAACAATTTTAGATAAATGTCATATCGAGTATTATCTTTCGTCTTTCACTTCGAGAATAAAACCGTTAAAGGTATCTTTTAATATGCGATATCATGAGATACGCTTTTAATTGATTTGCTGGAAAAGAATGGCATCATTGTGTTTAATAACTCATTTTATGTTAGCATTTGTAACCACTTATTTGCTGCATATCATATTGAATTGAAACATACCTTAGATTTATCGCGTTAATTTGCAGAAAACTACAGTTTCATTTCCATAACAAAGCCTTTTTCGGCTAACCTTATATTTGTTATTTGTCAGAGATAGTTGAAAAGACAGAATTTAAGATCTAAGTTTAGAGCTGTGAATTTCGTTGATTTTATATATAAGATGATATCAAAATGATAGTTTATTAGTTTAAATGCAAAAAGAAAAGTATTTCACATGTAATATTATACTTACTAAATACTTGTTTCCTTTGCTTTTCAACGATATTTCGAATATGATGTGAGAGTGTTATAAAACATACTGAACTGATGAATGGTACATAAAACTTGAAAAAAACATACTTG